AAACCCTAAACCCTAAAGCCGACCTTTGAGGGCTTTCAGGGTTTCACCGGGCTTCTATGGGTAAGGTCCAGCATGGGTGGTGTAAGGATGAATAGGGTTTCCAGGACATCCGGTTTAGGATGTACGGACTCATGGATTTGTTTTGTTGAGCCTTTTAGTTGGGGGTTTCATTTTCTGGGGAGCTCGTTCATTTATGATTCAATGACCGGGTAGGTACAGTTTACAGCTTGGGGGAAGCCATCGACAAGGATTTTTGTACACCTTCGGGTTCCTATAGTCTCGTGACAAGAGAGGAAGTGTACAATTTTCTTACAGAGGGAATGCAGCAACTGGGTTGGATCTCGCCTTTACTTTTGAATGCGTAGCGTGCACAAACATTTCTTGATTCAGTCGAAGGCCCCACGGTCTAGGGCTTCGGCAAACCCCAGACCATGTTCCAGGGTTTAGGGCTTAGTTAGGGTTGAGGGATTTAGACACTGCGTCAGTCATTCAAACCATCTACGCCGCTGCAGCAGGGATGGCGCCTTTTGCGGATGTGGCGGATGTGGCTTTCATGTGGGAGTTGTATCTGAGGCTTATAGTTGCCGGGTCCATTTCTTCTACATACCCTCTAAGAATCATATGATAGTTGTAGGGTCCTGCTTCTAGGGCTTGGCGTAACCAGAATCCTCTTATAACCTCCTTGAATTCCTGTTTCAATAGTCCTTTTACATTTTGCTAACCCGGGGCTGCTTTTTTATGCTCTTTTCGATGTGGTTCTCTATCTTGGGGTTGGGGTAACCCAAGTTCCTTTATCATAAATCCCAAGCCCTAAACTTTAGACCCAGGGTTTTGGACCGAGCCTTTGCATAGCAGATGCCCCAGTGTTCGTTGCTTCACCAGCAATACCCTTCAGGGTCCAACAATAAGATAGTTGGGGGTTTGGTAGTAGTAATTCTAGTACAGGCATTAGGTAAGTATACGATGCTTAAACACTGGGACCTATAACGCCAGCTTTCATGTCATTTTCCATGTTCTTTTCCATTTGATTTTCCAGTATTGGGGTTATGTACCCTAAATTCTAAAGCCTAGTCCCAAAACCCTAACCTAAACCTTATTCCTCATACATACCTACATACCTATTCCCCATATTATAACCCCTGAGGGATAGCTTTGCAATCAGGGCGTCCTACCTGGCCAATCCCCGGTTTACGCAAGCTTGGAACAAGAGCGCGCAGACGGATACTAAACCCTAGACCCTAAACCTTGCGATGCTGCCTCAGCCGTGCAAGGGGCGAAGCCCTAAACACTATACTAGGGGTTATTAAAGGAGGATACTGGGAGTCTAGATTATAGCTCATATGAGAAGCCAAGTAAGGTGGCCTCTGTATAGAGACCGAAAGGAGGGTTGAAGGGCTATAAAATTAAGGGTGCCTTAGAGGGGAATATAGGGTTACTTGGGGTTTAGGGGTTTTGGGCTTAAGGGTTTAGGGTTTAGGTTTCTGATTTCCCATTGAACCCTAAACCCTTAAGCCCTCCACCCCCCCCATATTTGATGTCAAGAGATCAGCCGAGGAAGCCCTGCCGGCAATGGAGGTGAAAACCCGACCCATCACGACGCAGGCAGGGTTCAAGGATTTGGGGTTTAGGGTTTACGGTTGAGTTCTATGGGGTATAGTGGAGAATCCAACGGAAAAGAGCGTGGGGAATAACATGGAAACCACTATTTCGGGTTCAGTGTTTAGGGACTTTACCTCCCAGAATGGAGCATCAAATGGACAAGAACATGGAACATGAAAGGGAAACTGGGGTTAGATAGGGATCTTTAGGGATTATATAACCCCAATTACCTACAGCTTTATTGCTTACACCTACCGGTTAGGGAGTAGAAGTACTACTTGACTATACGTAAGGGGCTGGTAAGCCTGTCTTGCCTTTTGAAGTGCCAGTATGCTTGGTAACTTTTCAGGGACCTGCGCTCGGAGCTGAGAGGGAAGAGCTGGGGTTCTAGCTTGAGGAGTAGGGCGCCATCGTTTGGTCGAGAAATGCTGATAACTTAGAAGCCTAATTAAACACGATGGCCTTGTACAGTCACACGGTTTAGGGTTCAGAGTAGGGGTATTATTTAGGGTGTGGTACGTGTATGTCATACTTTTTGTCCATGGTTGGTTGGGTTCAGTATCCAAGGCATTTTCCCTGTCTAGTTGAGATACTGTTATTGGTCCTTGCGTGTGTAATTTCAAATTTTGACATCTCGCAGGTTGGTATCCTACGGTCTCTTGTGGCCACGGTATGGATAACAATAGGGTGTCCTGGAGTGAGCTACCATGCCGACTTTTCCGGCCCCTGCACGAGAGTTAGGAACCCTGGGACCCTGGGAATCATTTCAGCTATATCAGTTTAGCATTTAAATGCATGGGTTCTACTGGTAGTTTCCAAAATTTAGGGGTCCCTTTTCGGAGTCTCCATGATAAGATTGGGGCCCCTGGTGCACGGAAATCAACAAAGTGTTCCTAAACCCGGCCCTAAACCTTACTTTGAGGCTAAAGGGGCTCAGTCAGTAAGTTACTAAGGGGGATTACTGGGGTTATCATACCATGTAGCTTATCGGGGTTCTAAATAGAATCACTAAGTCCCCCTGCGCCTCCAAGTGATGTTTCCTAGTTCCCGAAAAGGGCGGGTTCTCGCAATCTTCTTCTAAGGACTTTAGGAGGGACCCCTAATAGGGACCCTTGTAGCTTATGGGGGTTAATATGGGGACTACCTAGGGATATAGGGGTTATATAATGACTATATAAGGGTTATATATGGTAATG